AAGAGCTGTTCAGAGTTTGAAAGAATCGCCCACCGAGGAGTCAATAACCTCGATGGAAAAGTGAGCTGACCCACGGCCAAGGGACCGGACTCAGCATCACCAGGGACCCAAGAGCCAACATCGTGTTACCCCTGACGCAACCCATTCAGAAAAACACCCAGGGACCTAGGTAGAGAGGTAATACTCCTGGCAGACAACACCTGTTTAACCTGAATCTAACTGTGTGGCAGCGCTCAGGCAATTTCAAATTGGGGGGCATTCTCCAAAACCACTGGCTTGGGCCCTTCAAAAAGGTCCGTGACGTTACAGGTGAAAAGGCAGCGAAATTGTCCTAGACTTAAGACGGCTAAAGAGACGTGATATTTAAATTCTATGTGCAATTTCGCACTGGATTCTGAGTTGAGGGAACATTACTGGGACAATTAGAGCAATTTCAATTATGATACTTCTGCACCTCAAACTTTACGACTACAATAGTTCTCCAGGATTAAACAATTTGTAAAGTCAGCGCTGCTCCTGTCAGAGACCAGAGATCCACATCAGAGGGGTGAGGACACACCACAGAAGGCTTAATGTCCATGTAATTTCCTACATGTTAGTAATTATGAGAAAAAAGGTACAAATGTTTGTAACCATGATCTAATGCCATTTAAAAATGAAATTTAGCGTAATTTTTAAATTAAACACTGAAGTGACACTAGCAAAATTCATCAGAATGGGACTAGTTTTTAACCACATGGTACCATCAAAGTCATGGCTACATTTGTTACATAGAACATACAGAAACCTATCTTGATGGCAGCATAAAGTCAAAACTTTAACTCTACAGTAAAATTTTAGTGTGTTTTTATACAAAAGAACTTAAAAATTACCTTCAGAAAATCATGCAAGTGTTTAAGGACACCTATCCTGACTTCATCGAGATCTTTTAAAAATCCATTAAAAATTGGAACCAGATCTGCAGCTGTCAACTGATCTCCAAGGATGACTGCAAGTTCGTGGATGGAGAAGGCTAAGGTCCTTCGAACTTTCCACTGCAGAAATAAAGACAACTGCGTGAGTAAGCTGATCACAAAGTCTTGGTACTTTAACTTTTGCACAATGCATGAAGGTTAATTTATTATATCTGAATGTTATTAATCTCAAGTTAAATCAGAATAAAACAGTAATAATAGATACCAAGTTTTAAATGCCTACTTTCTATCAAAAACTGGCAGAAAAATGCAAAATCCCTGCACAGTATATATCATCCCCCTTTCACTTAGGAAGGAAAAAAATGCTTGGAGATCACTGGTGGTGAAGCCTGTGTAGCTCACGGAGCACTGGATGCCCAATTTCCTGGCGTCCCACACGGATCGAAGGCTGGCTGGTGTGCCTCTCCCTGCACTGGCCCTCCCGACTCTGCACAGACTATCCTGGATTAAAAACAACCACAAAACTCGTTTTAAAGAACTGGCAATTTAAAGAGATACAAGATTGGGAAAATCTCTTGCGGGCAGCCCTGGAAAAGAACACCGCAACAGAAATGTGCTCCATTTACAGAAGACTTTCTATGTCAAAAACATCTTTTTCTTCATGTGGCCTTAATTTAAAAAATTTTACTTTGCTATTCAGTTTAAAACTTTATCTGCTGAGAAGCTGTTTAGAACAAAGGCTTTATCCCCGCCCCAAACACAAGAACCTGTTCTTGAGATAAAATGCTGTACCCATGTTCAATGTATCAAATGGAAGAAGGCAGGATGTTCGGATAAGCCCTGCCCCTCCAGAGCCGTCCCCGTCACCAGCAGCTCCGAGAGTCCACAGAATAAAGGTGGAAAGCCGCTCATACAGAGGGTGAAACACTCGCTGGTCCCCGGCCGTGTGTCCCACGCCCAGTTCCACCCCTGAGGGCTGAGCAGGGATCAGCTTCTCCAGAGGTCGGAGGAGGGACTTAAACTATGTTCCCAAGGGGACTCTCGACTTCCAACTTGCCGAGTCAACTGAGACACCGAGGGATAACCATTCACAACTCAGTATAAATTAGTCTCAGCAGATGCCATCGAATAACTGAGATGAAGGTTGCTGAAGGAAAAGGGACTTGGGTGTATGGAAGCCAGACCCAAGGGCGGGGGGATGAAGTTGGCAAAGCCTGGGAAAACAGCCACAAAAAGCCACAAACGACCAAGGGTCAATGTTTCCCACTTCTCGTTTCTCAAACGGGTGGTGGTGGTGAGCACACGTGTGCACAAACGGGCACGCACACACCCATCAACCTTCTCCCACCCACACTGTGCCACCCGCTGGGCCCAGACCTCGGCAGCCCTAACACGACTGCAGTTCTGCTAAGGTTGAAAAATATCAGGGAGGAAGCATTTATAACACTGTTTCTGGGGTAAAGTGAAAACCCTATATTCTCAAGAATTAATCTGCACGTAAACTTTAGACAACAGCACCTTTGAGTTAGGAACCTCAGCCAGTCAAACGGGAAGCTAATTCTAGCACTTCAGACAAAAAAGGAGAGAGGCTGCTGAGGTGGAGGGAGGAGCCTGGACCCACTGGGGAGTGCTCTGGTGTCACCGGCAAGCTCTCTGCACGCGAGGGAACGTGGACAGGGCCCCCGCACCTGCATGTCGGAGGCCAGCGTCTCGTAGGTCTCGCGCAGGCAGTGCCAGTTCTGCCGGCCCAGCGTCAGTGCCACGCCCGGCAGGCTGTATGCGCAGTGCTTGGCGATCTCCGTGTCCACTGTCTGCGCCCGGGAGGGGTCGGTCATGGAGAGATACTGATCCAGCAGGGCCTGGGGCACAACGTCCTAACCAAGAGAGAGTGCAGACTTTGTAAATTAGGCACACTTGCACGTCATATAGTAGTGAAAAACCAATCTCCAAGTTTCAGGTTTCCAATAACTGAAAAGCGATAAGAAAACACGCTAAGGGAGATACATGTATAAGTGAATAAAAGCAGCTTCAAGGAGGAAAACAACAAACAAGATCTTAAAACAGAAAACAGCTTAGAGGATGATGAGAGCTGCTTACTAAATTTAAGAGATACATTAAAAATAAGACCAGCACCTTTCAGTGCTGGCACAGATTACAGAGTCTGGGGTAACCTACTGAATGAGGCTAACCTAGTGGATGAGGCTGACCTAGCAGATGAGGCTAAGCAGGCCCTCTTCTGCACTGTCACCAACAAGGATCTTAAAACGACAACAACCACCACCTTTGGATGGAAATTTAGCAATTATCTATAGAAACTTAAAGGGTACATACCTCTAACCACTTGTATAAATGCGAGGACAAGAAGAACATATCTACGATCTTGCTTATGTATGCGAAATATAGCTTTGGAAGGAGCTACAAAATAAAGATAAAACTGGCTGCTTTGGGGGAAAAGCAAAGGTGCTGGAGAAGAAAAGCTGAGAAGGAAGCTGAATTCTGAACTTTGTAAACGCATTATCTATTTTTAAAAAATAAAATGGAAATTCACTAAAGGAATGAGACAATCTGTATGCACTGCCTTAAAAAAGCATGTTTTAAAACACTATGAATACCAACTCCATTTTTAATAAATAGAACAAACAAAAACAAAGGAGTCACCCCCTCTAACCTAGGCAATCTACTTATAATAATGCACAGACAGTCCCAGGAGCAAAGCACAGGCATGATCACGATGAACGTGGCTTTACTTGTAATATCACAGCACACCTACACCTGGACGCCCGTCCCAGCCCTGCTTACGCGGGGCCGCGTGGGTGCTGTGCTGGGGGGGCACGTGTTGGCATTGGGAAATCCACGATCAACCTAAGCTTACAAATATGGTCAACAACTGTTAGTGATATTTACAGGAGACACATCTTCATATCCTCTACTGATCTTGGAAATATATTTATATTTGTTTGGAATTTAGTGTTAATAAGTAATTCACAAAATATTAGGACAACAGAATAAAACCTCATTTGCTTATAAGGCATTAAATTGTCAATTTTATCCACCAGATACCCAAACTCTAAAAGACATCTAACAAATGTCTCAAAGTTAATATAATTAAGTTTATAAACATAATGCAGAAGGAAGTTTTTAAAATCTCACTCAATATCTATTATACCTTATTTTAGGTACAACTTTAAAAAGTTGTTGTAAGTTTTCCAGCAGATATTAATTAGAAAAATCAGGGGGGACGGGGGGGGGGATTCTGTGCTCCTGTGCAAAGAGCTCCAAGACATGACTCTTTAAAAAAGAAAAGAAAAAAGAAAGACAGGCATCACCAGATTCCAACGACCCCACAGGTAAAGCCTCCGATTCGAGTCACCCTGCCAGCCGACAGCACTTTACAGCGGCTCTGGGCCGTACTCCCACATTCTCCTCTCTGAAGTCAAGCTCTACCTTACAATCCTTGGCAACTCAGGCATGAAGACCCAGGCGTGACGGCCTGGCTCTATGGGTCTTTGAAAGAGAAAGGTGCACACCGACGCGCGGGCGCGTCCGCCTAGGCGCACTGAGGAAATACCAGAGGACCCATGGTCGTGGTCACCCTGGAGGGGAAGGGGTCACAGGTGTGAAAAGAGGAAGATTTCTGCTTATATTTTACTCGACCGCTTGAATTTTCTTATCAGAAGTATGATATATCAGCCCTCATTTTCAAAACATTATCAGAAGGGCCAAATTTGGTGAGAAATGGGTTTAAAAGTGGACTTAACAACACCCACACAAAGTAAAGAGTTTTGGGTCACCTACCTGCACTTTAGCTCTCCTTTCCTCATCGGGGCTAAAACCACCACTGGTGCCCGAGTCTGAATCATCATGAATATAGCGAAGGGCGGACTCCATATTCTGTTGGGAGAGAACGGTCACTTAAAGAACTGCCCTGTCTGTGAGTTCCCTTCATTTAAACTATCTTACTAAGTTACTCACCTTTCAAGGCCACCAAAAGATAAGAATACGTACAAATTCTTCATGCTTTTAAACATTTATAAACAGACCTAAGACCTCATAAGAACTCCCCTGCCTTAAATCAAACTTTCAGAATAGGTTGCTAAAGGTATGAAAATAAATTCCAGAACAAATGTAATTAAAAAGTAAATTTAGAAGTAATTTTGAAAAGGTCCCAATATCTAAAATTAGCTATCAATAAAACAGTATTTAGAGGTTGCTTCAGGCAACTGTTGTGTGGTATGTCATACACAGTTTTTCTTCTACTATTTCTATTCCTGGCTATTTCTAATTTCACAGATATACTGGGCTGGCCCAAAAGTTCATTCGGGGTTGTCATGCGATGTTACAGGAAAACCCAAACCAACTTTCTGGCCGACCCAATACGTTTTTAACAGCCCCCGCCAACCCCAAAATGAAAACAAAACACTTTCTAAAACTCAGATAAAGTACTGAAATCTCCGATGATGCTAAGGGGTCAGGGTTGCATTCTGAAGCCCTGGTTTTACGCAAGATTTCTAACTATACTGGGTGTCATCTAACAGAAAACAAGCCAGGAATCCACCGGGGCCCTGGGACCCCCGTGCCCCCATGCGTATGAGGCCCCCCCCTCCCTGAGCTCAGCGTCCAGGCCGCCCTGACCCGAGACCACCTGCCTCTGGCCACCAGCATGTGTTCCTTCTCCCGCCGACACACACAAGGGATGAGAACTACTGACACCGCGTGGTGCTGGCTTGGTGGGGGGTCGGGGGGTTCGGGAAGGACGGTGCAGGACACAGGCAGGCGGGCTGGTCACAGTACCCACCCGCACACTCCAGGGTCCAGATTATCCCGCAACACGGCCTCAAGTCCCGATCTTCCGCTCAGAATACTGTGCTGCTCGCTGCAGTGAAATGGTCCCATCAGAAACAAAGCACCCCTCCAAAAAGAAAAGGGAAGAGTTACTCACTCTTGATAAAGGGCTTTGTCTCCAGTAAGATTATTTCACTGCAGTGAGCCACACCCACACTGAAGCTGCGGAGTGGTCATGTAGACAGTCCCGGGGCTGACTATTAACTCCAAGCTCTGGACATGACACTCATGTCACAGAGACAGGATGTGGTGACGATGACTTTTACTTCATGCAGAAGGGAGATGGAGAAAACCAGCGACAGACAGGACGTGGTAACTGGGCCGTGACGAGCACCACGGCCGCCCCGCGAACGGCGCCGGGGCCACCCAGCTCACTGTGCACGCCCTGCGGAGCCCTCACCTCGACGGCCTCGCTCGTCAAAGGCCCGGCGGTGCCGTGGTCAAGTCTGCAGCCAAGGAGCTCATCCTGCGGGGCCCTCCGGGCAGCCTCGCTGGCCTCGTCGCAGGTGTCCAGGCTGGAGGCGCGCAGGGCAGCGGCCAGCACGTCCACCTGCGCTGTGGGCGGAACGACAGGCCTGTGAGCGCGGGGCCGCGGGTGCCTGGGCTCTCCCTGTGCAGGGTTATGGGATCAATGAGACGCAGTGCTTTTGGGACACTGCCATCGAAAAGCTGGAAAAAACCTCTACTGTGGTCAATCATTAGTTCTCCGAGGGAAAAAGTAGAAAACTAATATGCTTTCATGAGATTAAAAACGTTTATTACCCACTACTGTACATTATTCTGCGTTAGTATGAAAAGAGAGATGCTATCTAGTCAATTTCAGGGTCAGTGAACTATGTTTTGGGAACGCATGAGCGGGACTGGCGAGGCTTACTTACTAAGCTATCTTAGCAGGAGAGCAGTCACACAGACCCTGCCAACATAAAACAATGGGAATTACAAAGATTTCTGTGGCTGTTACATTTAAACATCTCACATCTCATTCCGGTTTATTTTACTTTTCTCTAATTCTTTTTGAAAGTGAAATTAGTGACTTGTCCCAAACACAGGGATCCCAAACAAGCACTGTCTCACTCGCAGGAAACCAAAGTGACAGATAACCAAGCAGCAGCCCTGAAGTCTGGCAAATGGCACTGTCTACGTTTTGAGTTACATCTTCTTTATAAAAGTCATTCAAAGTGAAGATAAAGCATTCTTCCTTCCCCCCAGAACAAATGAGGAATTTAGCAAAAAGAAATTGTTTAGCATTACTTCAAGTAACAATCCACCTGGATGCTCAAAATATACGAATTTATAAAGTTTAGCTGCAAGTTTATTTAGTACAAAGATTAGAAAGTGTGCTCCCACTCTACTTAAAGATTATTAAAAAGCAATCAGTATTTTAGCATTTATAAAATTCTAGTTAAGTATACAAGGTACCCAGCAAGAGAGACACAAGAAACATACAGGATGATGACCTAACTGAATAGATTAAACTGAAGGTGTCTAATCATGAAAAGTTACTCACGGAAAGCATCCTCATTCTTTTGGGGATTTCAGCTGCAATTTGTACTAATCCTTTACTCACTTCAGCTCCCCTTTTAGAATCCTCCAAATTTCCACAATGAAATCACAACAGAACTAAAGGAGGCTGACGGCCCGGAACATGCTTTCTGCCCCTGTAGACGCAGGCGGGGGGTGTGAGGGTGGGCTCCCTCATGCATCGCGACCTGTTCCTGGGAAGCCTTTCACAGAGCACGCCTCACACAGGCCACCAACCCGAGTAAACGACAGCCTCCTCCTTGTCTATGTTACTCTGTACCTTTAGGTTTGTACGTTCACAAAAGTTTCAGTGAGTCACACTGAGGTTACCTCCTTCAAAAGACTGGTACAAAGGTCACGAGGACAACCTCATGCCCACTCATGGAGAGCCCGTGGCCCCGGAGAACCCAGGCTTGCCTGAGACTCGGCGGGTGGCTCACCACGACCAGCGGAAGGAAACTGAAGCACAGGCCTTCACCACGTCTGCGTTTTCCTCACGATGCGGGCGGAAACCCCAGGATCAGAGCCCACGCAGTCCCTGGTGACTTGCGCTCAGAATCGGGGACAGCGTGGAACGTGGAATTTCCTGCTCGCGCCCTGAAGCGCTGGTCTGGCTGAGCTCACCCCTTCCATCTCTGACTCTCGCACACCGTCCTGGAGGTCAGTCACAAGTTCCTAACAATTTCTTGCTTACAATCAATGAACAATACGATTTTGTGGACCACAACTGCCCAGTGGACCTAGTTATTCCACTGGCCCCAACGAAACTGGAGAGAGCTCTGCACTTGCTGGCCTGGCCCGCTTCCCCTCTGCAGTCTGTGAACTGGCCATGGCCAATCAAACCGGCACCGGTCACTATTCAGCCGTGGCTCAATCCTGAATGAGTCTGGTGATGCCACACGCCAGGGAGTTTGGAAAAGGGGCCCTCTCACACCTTCTTCCCATTTTACTACCGCCCTTCTGTCCTTCCACGTAGGATCTACTTCTGTTCCACAGCCGAGAAAGGGCCTTCTTTTTCTGACAGGAACATCTCATTCTAGTTCCTGGAAACGCTTAAGTTTTTTGATTAGAGACTCACAAAGAAAAAAGAAATTAATCTATCAATGCTTCAAAGAAGGTAAGAGTTAAATTGGTAAGACTGTGAAGCAAAGGCTGCCTTAGAGAAAAAAAAAATCCCAACGCTTGCTCGTCTCCCATGACATTCCCACCAAACAGCACAGACAGGAACGAGGGACCCAGCGGCTTGTGAGAGCAGAACTCGACTCTGAGGGTCCGCCTCCCCCTGACGTTCCCCGGCCCCCAGTCAAGAACACACACACGCAACATAACTAGCTGAGTCCCTGGCCAGCACTCAGTTTCCAATTTGGGGTTAATTCTGCCTTTCAAAAAGGTAGACATTCTCTGACACACTGCTCACAACCGCAGACTAGAAAAGAAAAAGCACCCACAGTTAAGGTACACCCTTCAAAAACCCAAAACACCTTCTAATCGTATGAAAAGTCAGAAATAGCTACTACAATTAACACGGGTTCAATATGCCCTCAGATGCTCAGGAATTCTGCAGCCGAAGCCCTCCCGCCCCCAACCCTGCCCACCGATGTTTTGCTGCAGAACATCTGACACAGGCAGTTTACACACTAAGTGTCTCACCCTCTGTGCTCTCTGAGGCTGGGATTTCTGTCTGGTCTGCTGCTGGTATATATTCACTGCCTGGAAGAGTAGCTGGCACATAATAGGTGCTCGATAAGTGATGCTGGATGAATCAGTCAATCAATGAATATGTTACAAAAGTATCAACATTATGGACAGAAAGAACAACATGACAAATTTAAATTGTAACAGGTGTTAAGAGCTGAATTAGAAAGAGAACTGATTAAATCATAATATAGTATGACTACTAAAATCTCAATTGCAGCCTGTAAAGTTTAAGTCAAACAGTGTTAGTCACCTTCTGAAACACAAAGTCGTATCCTGAAACTCATGTGTCCATGTAGGGCTTTTAAAAAAGCAAACTATGCATATTACTTTCAGCTTATTTGTAAAAAAAAAAAAGAATTTAAAGTAGCTTATTTAGTATTTCCATTAATATTTAGCAGGTGTCTACTACGCGTCAGAGTACTGACTAGCAGGGGTGTGCAGGGAGAGCTCCCAGAACGGGCCACAGGCCAGTTAGGAGCCCTTCTTCCATAAAGGTTAAGGAGCGTACAAAAATCAAAATGTGAGAGTTACTGAAGTTTGATCGACCGAACAAAACTTAAGTTGACAAAATAATAAAATTTATCTCAACAGAAAGCAGAAACCTGTAAAGACAACATTTATCAAGAGCTGACCACCCCAAGATGTGCACGTCTGAGGTGTAATTCTGTCTCCGTCCTCCTCATCTGGGGTGGAAGGGAGACGGCAAAGGCAAGATTCTGATGAAGATTCTAATTTGTCAAACAAAACCAAACCTCAGTATTTGCTACATCACCAGGTTGTCATAAAATGCAGAATTCTGGGCTCAAGGGGGTAAAAATCAAGGGCAGGAGCCACAATGAGGAACTAGCGAGAGTAGTAAAGCTGTGAGGTTTTCAGAGAAAATAATCCACCGCGAGGGAGAGAAAATAGGACAGTCTACGGAAAACACTCATAAGGAGGAGGAATGAACTACTGGTCCACGAATGGCGAGGATAAATTGCAGACACAGACTCAAAAGAGGCTCACAGCGCCCGATACTATTCACAGCATTCTGGAAAAGGTGACTGTCTGCCAGTTAAATTAAAATAACTTTCAACCATCAAGGATATGAATTTGCCTTTAATCAAACAAATCATTCAGTTTTTCTCCAAGCATAAAATTATCATAGGAAATCTTTAAAAATCATGATACGTTAAAGCCAAATAAAGATAACTGCTAATATCACCTCCACTGATGAAATTTTCCAAGTTTAAACACAACAAGGTTTTGCGTGTTTTAGAAGGACACTGAAGGTTTTGCTTTGCCTGCTTTAAAAATAGGTATTTTGCTAACATTGAGCAAACTGACAGTTTAGAAATTTTAGCTTCTAGAATGAACAAGGAAAAAAAAATCCACAAAGTGATAAAGGATCTGAAGACTTGCAGTTTGGGGATTTTTCAAAATTGTTTTTTGTTTTACGGTAACATTTCAGATTTCACTGGTTAGCATGCTCAGTAGGAGCTCTGATGTTGCTGGCATCAGGTTCCTACCCCCGGACCGTAAACCACCCCCTGGCCCCGGCAGGCAGAGTGAGGTGGCCTGGGACCCCGTTCCCACACTCCTGTTCCACTGAGTGAGAGCAACTTATTATTTTTACACACAACAACCTTCAAGGCTGCCGTTCATAATGGCAGAATCTAGGTGACACAAGTGTAACCCAACGGAACAAGGTTCAAACTGAGAAACAAAGACACCAGCAGGACCCTCGCAAATGCCCACAGCTCTTAAAACATCACGTTCCATAGGAAGATACGTATCTTTGTCCACTGCTAACAGACTACAGTCTTTCTGTAAAACACAGCACTGCATCTGCTGTTTATAAAAAGGTTTATGAGATCCAGAGCAGAAGAGTTAAGGCAGGACTCAAGGGTTAAAATTGTAAAAACAGTGAGTGAGTGTCAACAAGTCAGAGAGCAATTTGTGAACCAACACATCTGTTACATGCTACACTTAGGAACACAGTGATGGGCTCATCTGAAATTATTTCCTAAAATTCAGACTAACCACATTTATCCAGGTAAGAATACATGATGACAATGGTCAAAATGGATTTTTAAAAGGCAATTTTTCTGGGGAAAAAGTCAGAAAATAACATTTTTTATCAACTCCCATACCTTTCACGTCGGGATCGTCAATGTGTGGCTCCAGATTTTCTATCATCTCTTCCAGTTCCTTTCTGGTGGCCATGGTGATGTTTGCAGAAGCCGGGGCGGTGGCTTCAGGCGTTCCCTCCAGCCCCTCGGGGCCGAGTTTGTTCCCAGAGCCCTGCTCCAGCTCCACATCTAGATCTATTTCGGGAAGAGGAGTCCTCCAGAAGTGGAAGGAGTTGTACAACTCCTGATCCAGGGGAGCTGAGTCCTGCGCACTGGCGCCCACCTCCAACCGAGAGGCAGACCTGCAGGTGCCGGGCTTTTTAGCATCCTCATTACTAGCTGCCTCCTGATGAGGCTCTGAGGACAAAGGACAAGGTAATGAGCTGTCTCCTGGAGGCTTCCTAGGGCTTTCAGCACCGATGTCCGGGTCCAGCGCACCTTCCAGTTTGACACTGGAATTACAAACAGTGGGGTCTGTAGGAACATCCTCTGGCCTGATCTGTGCATCCTCTGGGACTTCTTCATCTCTGGTCCTTTTATTGTTTTATTTGGGAAAAAGAAAGTGAAAGTATAAAAATAATTACTGAAAAAACACCAATGAAAGATACTACATAAAGCATTTAACAGGTATTAAAAATTACAAATTATCCATACAAATTCAGTAGTTTATTTATATTACTGATAATGCTTCTTTTTCCATCAGTTGTTCTGTGCTCAGAGATGTAAACATCTGTTAATTCTAGATATTAAAGTATTATGTTAACAGTTGGAGGAGATAACATTTAAGAACCCCGGGATTCTATAATACCATGCTAATTTCAATAATAAAAATAACTAAAAAGAAATAGTAAGAAGATAAATTCTCACAATGCATTTTAAGCTAAATACATAGTAAAATTTATCTGAGTTTTAGGAGTATGGTATTGCCACTGTGCTCCAATGACCTATCAAAAAGCTGAGAATTAAAACCTCCTTGCTTACACAGAAAAAAAAAACAACTTATCTGAGTTTTAGGAGTATGGTATTGCCACTGTGCTCCAATGACCTATCAAAAAGCTGAGAATTAAAACCTCCTTGCTTACACAGAAAAAAAAAAACAACCCTCTACACAGCATTAGAAAAGATCCTTATTTACTATCTTGCAAAATACATTAAAGTCCAATTAAGTCTAAATAGTTATTTTTATTCCTTCCACACTTTCAGCTCTACTCCCAAAAGTTTTCCTCCCTGCAGCCATGACTTAATTGACAGAGAGGTGGTACAAGCCCCGGGGCCACAGCCCATGGGTCACCTCCATCCACCACCTACGCTGAGGCTCTACGGCCCCTCAGAGTTCATCTGACTCAATTACCCTTAACAAACGCATGCTGAGCACCTACTAGGAGCCAGGGAGCGACACTGGTGGTGAGGGTTCCTATGTAAATGAGAGGCAGCTGCTGCTCCTGAGATTAGCATCAGAGGCAAACGCTTCCTGCAGAGTGGTAAGGAGGGAGCAAGCACACTGAGCTTGGAGGCAGATGCGCCAGCTGCAAGGAAAGGCTTTCCAGGGAATGACAGGAGCCGTGGGTGGAGCAACCAACACGTGCTTAGGAGGCTAAGGGAAAACCACACTCAGGCAGCATATGCAAAGGCAGGGGTGACAGGAGAGGTGCCACACCTTCAGGAAATGGCGATGAGTTTACGACGGCTCAGAGAGGGAACCGATGGAAAAGTGAAAAGTTGGCGGAGCCACTGCGCCCCACACTAAACACCTCTGGAACGTACCCTAGAGTACAGAAGACAAGGCAGGGGTGAAGAGAGTTACATTTTGAGATGCGTTCTTTCAGAAAGGCCACCCGGAAGCAGGACAGGAAGCACGCTGGAGGTGCGCCAGGCGGCAGGGAGTGCAGCAGAGCAGGTGAGGAGAGGCAGGGATGCTCTTCTGAACAGGGCGGCGTGTCGGGGCTACAGAAGATGGCAACACACTCAAATGACGCCAACGCCAATACGACTGCTCACTTCCCGCTCGCGGGGCATAAGAAGCAAAGGGAGGAACCTGTGAAGATTTCCAGATTTCTGGCCCGAGCGACTGAACAGGTGCTGGTGGCACCGACTGCAAGTGAAAAACACCAGGGCAGTTTGAGGAGGGGGCTTCAGTCTGGATGGGCTGAGTCGGGATCTACGTGGAATTCCAGGTGCTGACGTCCCCGGGAAACTGGTCAGAGCCCAGACAGACTGGAGGGCACCTCAGAAGGACTGGCCTGCATATGTGTCATGACAGTCGTGCAGAGTGACAAAGAGCACGGCATTC